AAATTTTTCCACAGATATAAATATTTCTAATCTCAATGCTTTCAATTTATTATCAGTTTTCAGAATATCAAAGAGCTCAACAGCACTTTCAGGTGTATTTAATTGCAATCTAGTTACAACCAGACTAGGAGTAATAACATGTGATGGATGTAGTTTTGATAGTAAAATACATTCTAGTCCATTAATGAGGCGGATAGAAAGATGATTTGTATCCATAGCAACCAATGACGTGCTTATTGTTTCTACCATATCTTCTTGTGAAAATGAAAAAGTACCTGAAAGAGCTTTTAGTGTTTTGTTTTTGTTAAAGAGCTTTTTCATTAACTCCCCAGTTAAGCATGCATTATCAGAAAAATGTAGTGAAAGAAATGTTATACTTGTATTCTTGCATATTCCTTCAATGATAGTATTGAAAATGTTCCTTTCATGATTATAAAAATCAATTATTTCTTGGCTGGCATAATTAGATTGATTTGTCCCTCTACGATCAACATTGAATTCTTGTAGAGTTGTTTTTTTTGCTAAACATTTCTTAAGATCAGAACAATGGCAATGTTCTGTACTATATTTTTCTATGTTTTTGTTTATTTTCAAGTGCAGTATTTTTATTTGTGAAAAACTGAGGAACTGTACAAGTACATTACACGTGTATAGTAAAGTACCTGATACTTTAATGTAGCACTCTTGGACATTCCTTAATTGTAGTATCGTGTCATTGGTGAGTCCATAAAAATGTGCATCTAATCTTATTGTGTTCAACTTGTTAGTAAATACTGATAGTTCATCTTGATATAATGGCATGAGATGAAGATGGTTCCAGGTAATACTGCTGACATTAAGAAAATAGTTAAGACACAATACGTCAAATAGAGAAAATTGTAATGTATGAAGGCAAATTGATTGACAATGAATGGATTTCACTAATGCTTGGCATAGTTCTTTATTTTGTGATTCGTAAAGGAGATGAAGGAGGAGAATAGAAAAACCGTCAACATGAGTAAGGAAGTTATCATGATGGACATGGTCAACTATTGGATTAGTATAAAAA